TCCATAGGTGTAGATCAAGTCCATCAAATTGTATCAGATTACTCTTTTTTTCCTCTTCTTTCTTCTTCTAGTTGAGCTCTGATCATCCAGCCATTGAAGCCAGGTCAAGTGGGTATTATCTGCAAGTGTGGGTGTTCTTATGCATGTGCCCTCTCTTCATATCAGCTGGATGCTTCACTCTCCACTCTAGTCCTCTGTCTGGGCCCAAGAGTCCCCAGGTCTTGCCACACTGCTGGCCCACCAGGTCTCCACCCAAGTTCACAGGAATCTATTGAATGTTGTAGGCCTTAGCTCACAGCTTCATTGCTGCTTTTCCCTCACTTCAGAAGGGGCGGTTTTGAGAGTGAACATGAGGCTGGAGAGATGGGGGGCGGAACTTGTGGCATGGAGGGTCTAGACTGAAGCTACAGTCAGGGAGGCTGACTCTCTCCATTCCCCACTGGGACCTAGGCAAACCTTCCATCACCTCCTCCTACAACAGACATTCTAACATGTCACCACCTCCTGACACAATTCTAAGCCTCCATCTTCCAGGACACAGTCTATCCCTTTCTGGATACAATTCCAAGCCCCCCACCTTCCAGGGCACAGTCTATCCCTCCCGAGCTCACAGTCAGCATGTCTTCCAAGGTGTCTTCAAAAGAACAGGGAGACAGGGAGGGACTGCCAGTGGTTCCAAAGCTCAAAATACAAACAAAAAACACAAAACAACAACAACATCAGGCTTCCATGTATGATGCCAAGCTTGTGTCCTGGTTCTTCTCGCACCTGGTTATGTGACCAGCACATTGGGAACATTGCCTTGACTCCTGTTCACTGTGGTTTTCCTGTAGGCTTTAGAAACACCCGAACTCAAACCAAACCCACTGCCATAAAGCTAATTCCAACTCACAGCGATCCTATAGGATAGAGCAGGACAGCCCCATAGGGATTCCAAAGGACGTCAACTGTCACATGGTTCTCCCATGCAGCAGTGGCTGTTTTTGAACCTCTGACCTTTTGGCTAGCAGTCAAGTGCTTAACCACAGCACCACCAGGGCTCCTTTGGTTTTAGACATAGTTTTTGCTGTGTGCCATTGAGTGGTTCTGACTTATAGCAACCCTGAATGTGGTCTCTGAGCACAACTGGTGTGTTTGAACCACTGAATTTGTGGTTAACGTCCAGTGCTTATTGCTGTTGTTAGGTGCCATTGAGTAGGTACTAACTCATTGCGACCCTGTGCACAACAGAATGAAACACTGCCCAATCCTGGGCCAACCGCACAGTTGTTGCCATGCTTGAACCCACTGATGCTGCCACTTTGCCAGTCCATCTCACTGGGGGTCTTCCTCTTTTTCTCTGACCCCCAACCTTACCAAACATGATATCCTTCTCCAGTGACTGGTCCCTCCTGACAATATGTTCGATGTATGAGACATGAAGTCTGGCCATCCTGGTGTCCAAGGAGCACTCTGGCTGTACTTCTTTCAACACAGATCTATTGGTTCTTTAGGCAGCCCATGGCACTTTCAATATTCTCCTCCAACACCATAACTCAAAAGCATCAATTCTTCTATGGTCTTCCTTATTCATTGTCCAGCTTTCGCATGTATATGAGGTTATTGAAAATACCATGGCTTGGGTTAGGTGCACCTTAGACCTCAAGCTGACATCTTTGCTCTTCAACACTTTCAAAAGGTCTTGTGCAGCACATTTGCCTAATGCAATATGTCGTTTGATTTCTTGACTGCTGCTTCCATGAGTGTTGATAGTTGATCTAAGAAGAATGAAGTCCTTGACAACTTCAATCTTTTCTCCATTGATAAGAATGTTGTTTATTGGTCCAGTGGTGAGGATTTTTGTTTTCTTTACATTGAGATATAATCCATACCGAAGACTGTGCTCTTGGATCTTCATCAGTAAATGTTTTAAGTCCTCTTCACTTTCAACAGACAAGGTTGTATCATCTGCATATCGCAAGTTGTTAATCAGTCTTCCTCCAATCCTGATGCCACGTTTTTCTTCATAGAACCCAGCTTCTTGGATGATATGCTCAGCATACAGGTTGAATAAGTATGGTGAAAGAATACAACCCTGTCACACACCTTTCTTAATTTTAAACCATTCAGTGTTCCCTTGTTCTGTTCGAACAACTGCCTCTTGGTCCATGTACAGTTTCCTCATGAATACAGTTAAGTGTTCTGAAATACTCATACTTTACAATGTTGTCCATAGCTTGTCATGATCCACACAATCGAAAGCCTTTGTGTAGTCAATAAAGCACAGGTAAACATCTTTCTGGTATTCTCTGCTTTCAGCCAAGATCCATTGACATCGGCAATGATATCCCTCATTCCATGTCCTCTTCTGAATCCAGCTTGAACCTCTGGAAGTTCTCTGTCAATGTATGCTTGCAGCTGTTTCTGTATTACCTTTAGTAAGACTTTAATCACATGGGATATCACAGATATTGACCGATGCTTTCTGCATTCCGTTCGGTTACCTCTCTTTGGAATGGGCACAAATACAGATGTCTTCCAATCAGTCGGCCAGATAGTTGTCTTCCAAATTTCTTGGCATAGATGAATGAGTGCCTCCTATGCCGCCTCACTTTCTTGAAAGATTTCAATTTGTATTCCATCAATTCCTGGTGCCTTGTTCTTTGCCAATTCCTTCAATGCACCTTGGACTTCTTCCTTCAGTATCTTTGGCTCTTGCTTATAGGATTCATGATTCATGTGCTGGTTTCAGAGCAACCACTAGGGGGCAGACTCGAGCTTGGCTAGGCTCCAGGGACCAAGCCTTGTGGCAGGGAATCAGTCAGGTTTATCAGACAGCCTTGGGAAGGCCCTGGGCTCTCTGAAGCCCCCAGCCTGTTCCTGGAGACTGATTCTCTAAGAGAAGGTTCTGGACGCAGGCTGGGAAATGAATACAGTCGTTCTGGAAGCTTACACAGAATCACCAGGCTGCTGGACGGCAAAGGGGACTCAGGGCCTGTTAAGCGCTTTGTGGTTGTAGCTGTGGAGGGTAAACCCTGGCCTTGGGGTGAGTGCAGGCCAGGGATTGTGAGAGGGCAAAATGGAAGTGTCTCCCAGGTTGTGACTGACACACTGTATCCCAGCGTTCCTCTCCTAGACATCTTGAAGTCTCTGCACCCCAGTTCTACACCAGCATGGTCATTCTACAGGGCTGTCATGAGATCTAATCACAACTATTCTTGGGAAGTGAGGACTGTTATCACTACCACTCCGTCTTACAGATGAGAAAATGGAGGCTCAGAAAGATTAAAAATAACCATTGGAAATGGAGATCTGGGATTAAAAAGCCATACCACTAGAAATACTGGTTGCCATCGAGTCAATTTTGACTCATGGCAGATGCCAGTGTGTAAGAGTAGAGCTGTACTCCACTCCACAGGGCTTTCAATGGTTGATGTTTTTTTTTCTGGAAGTAGATTGCCAGGCCTTTCTGCTGAGGCACTTCTTGGTGGATTCAAACCTTCCACATCTCAGTTAGCAGCTGAAGAGCCCTGATAGGGTAGTGGTTTATGTGTTGGGCTGCTAAGTGAAAGGTCAACAGTTCAAATCCACCAGCTGCTCCACAAGAGAACAATGAGATTTTTCCAGCTCCTGTTAAACATTTCCAAGGAGTTCAAACAGCTGAGCACAGCCCAGAGACTCTAAAGCCATATGTTGTTGCTACTGTTGTGATTCAGTGCCACTGAGTCGGTTCTGATTCACCAGGATCGCTGCCCAGTGCTTATCCTACAGCGCTGCGCCACACCAGGACAAGGCTCTTAAAGCCTTTCTCAGTCAATTACACTCCTTCTTGATTTGAGATGTACGTGTATGTAATGTTCCTGTGTAAAGCAGGCACTTGGTTCATGATGGCTGTACTATCTCAGTGTACCTGGCTTTCTAACACACCTTTAGCTGAATCCCAGGCAAGGTAACAACATTCACACCTTGTACATCAAACACCTTTCTTGTCTTTGGCTTTCTGTCATTAAAGGAATCTTAGTCCATGTGTGGCAACCCCTCCTCTCACAAATCTTTCAGGTACTTGTATAAAGCAACATCTTTGTATTCCATCCAGACTTGGCTGGTACCGAGCAGTCAAGATCAGTTTGCCTGGTGTTTTTCTTCTATTTTTTGATCTGTGCAGCTCAGCCGTGTCCTAATCCGATAGCACCACCTAATGGCCATATTTCACCTGTGCAAGATAGATACATCCTGAAAGACCGCTTCTCTGTCATCTGTGAGACGGGCTTTGAGCTTCTGAAAGTAAGTATATAAATTCGTATGTATAAAACGATCAAAAGAGTCTCCAACCACATATATCTATGGGGAAATGCATAAAATGGAAGTTCTTGTGTATGCTTCAGTGAGAAAACAGCCCAGGAAATAAAAGGAAGTTTACCCAGAACAAGAGGAATGGCTACAGAGAAATTTTCACCCCCTTAGGAATTCTGCTTGTAAAAAGCTACTTTTGCCTGACAGTGATTAAAATGGGCAACCTTTCTTACTTATGCCCCCTCACACAGTAAGTACAGCAGCCTCTTGTAGAATGGCTGGCACCACAGAGACACAAGCGGACTCTTCTTGTCCATGTTCTCTGTGACATCGCCTTGTGTTAAATTAAGGTTCTTTCTCTGGTCAAATGATAACCTTTCCACACCACAACTCCAGGGCTCACAAAAAATTAAGATGGCCCTGGGAAACAGTATATTCGGCAAAGTTATAAATAGTGATCGCTGCTAAGGGAGGCGTATAATTTTAAAAAGTGCTTAGCATGTGGCTTTAGGGGCACAGGTAAGAGATTAACACGTCCTCTTTATGTTCTTCAAAATTGTCACTGAGTCCCAGCGGTAAAAAGTAATAACATTGAAATGATAGCTAGCTAGGCAATCCACAGGCCTGTGGAGGGACAAAACCAAAAAAAGAAAAAAAAGGTGAGACACTTTTCCCACCTTGCAGAACTTCTTGGGGTAGTAGGCTCTTTCCCAGACCTTCTGGAACTGCAAACCTGCTCAGTTTCAGATTTCAAAAAACAAAAACTATCAACCTGCTATTGTTTGAAGGATGAAGTTTCTGGCCAAATCATGTTTAAGTTTTGAAGCTGTTTCTGTTAACCATACCAGTAGTGAAAGTTAATAGAACACACATGTAACATTATCTGACAGGATTTGTAAAAAGGGTTTTCCGGCAGCAATGACCAATGGGTTAGAAACATATGGAGACAACTTGGCTCCTAGTCTGGTCAGGCTGGCCTTTTCCAACTTTTTTTTTTTTTAATTAATATTGCTGAGATATCGTCACTGATATAAACTAACAGAACTGCTTGTGGCAAATAACGCATTCGCACCAAGGCTGGCTTGGACCAAATATCTATGTCAGGTGCTCAGCACATCACTACACACTAAAGCCAGCCAAGGAAGTATGTTCCCTCTTAGGAGTAGCCGTGTGAAACACTAGGCCAGACCACAGCTTTGTGGAATGGACTGTATGACATAAACAAATGAATATTTCTGAATTCCTCTTTAGGGCTACTTGCCCCTGAAGTCATTCTCTGCAGTCTGTCAGAAAGATGGATCTTGGGACCAGCCGATGCCAGAATGCAGCAGTAAGCATGTGGTGACTACAGCTCCTATAACCTCCTCTGGTCTTTCTTTTTAAATGATTGTATTTATCAGGGTTTGAATTCTAGAATTGCTTATATTCCTGTCAGTGAGCTATAACGAAATCAACTAGGACAATTTGTTTGCTTAAGCAAAGCATGATCTTTGAAAATGTATTTTTCTAAGCATCAAATATATTCTAGAAAAATGGGGTAGAATGCAGCAAATTACAAACATTTCCTCATAATATCACCTTATACTATTTTAGTGTGTTTGCTACCATTGAGTCAATTCTGACCCATGGTGACCCCGTATGAGCAGAGAACTACTCCGTAAGGTTTCCAACCCTGACTTCTCAGAAGCAGATCCAGGCCTGTTTCATTCTGAAGTGCTTCTGGGTGGGTTCAAGCTGTCCACCTTTTGGCTAATGGTCAAGTGCTTAGCTATTTGTGCCACCCAGAGGTCACCTATTTTGGTTGTGGTGTTAGATGCTGTCCTATGAGGAGGTCATTCTTGACTGTTAGCGACCCTGTATGACGTTACTGCCCCATTGGGTTTTTTTTACTGGAAGCAGATCACTAGGTAGTTCTCATGGAGTCACTGGGTGAATTACAACTGCCAACTTTTCCGTTAGCAACAAAGCACGTAAGCATTTGCACACCAGGGCTCCTTTGTTTTGATGTACAGCCCTCCAGTGACACACATCTGTATGAGCACATATTCTTCATATGTAAGGATGGGAGTAATCTTATGTGCACACACATACACCAAACTGGGGTAATGGCATGTTTCTGTTTTGTGCGTTAAGAATCACACGTATCTCATTTAACAGAAAAATCAAGTTTACAAAAACTGAAAAAGCTCTCTTGTTCAGCCCTCCCCACCCTTTGGGGTCATTCCCTTCCTGTTTCTAATCTTTTATCACATTTCTGTTGGTAGCTGCCATGGTGCAGAATGAAGTGCATCACCCTCATGATCACTGACATGCCTACATTGATTGTGGCTGCCTAGAATCGGGCATTTTCCATTTTATGTTTTTAATCCTCCACCATAACCATCATAGATTGTTTCATTTAGCAAGAAAATCTTTAAACTTTTTACAATGGTGGTCTCAAGCAATGTCTGTCCTTTTGTGACAAATTACAATCAGCATGTCCTCCTGGTTCATCCATATTTTCAATTCTTTTTTTCTCCAGTGTTGCATCATACTCCATTGTGTGCATGTACCAAAGTTTTAACTGTTCTTTTGATGACTGGCATATAAGCAGCCTCCATCTTTTTACCACTGTGAACATGGGTGTGCAGGTATTTAGTGTCACCACTTTTATTTCTTGAGGATACATACCAAGTCGAGGGATTGCTAGGACCATGAACTTTTTGAGGTCCCTCATATACACATGCATTTTTTTCCAAAATGGATTAGATCCCAATTTGCTTTTTCTTATCTAATATTGTATTATTTTTCCAAATCAACCTATATATAAACAGACCCACTTGTCTTTTATGATAGCATTCCGTTGCATTATATAACCCAGGAGTTCTGGTGTGGCACTGTAGGATAAGCACTGCACTGGTAACCATAAGGCTGGCAGTTCAATCCTACCAGTTGCTCCTTAGAAACTCAACACAGGGTTGCTGAGTCAGATCTGATTCAATAGCACTTATCCGTATATAACCTAATCTTTTTTAAAGGTTTTTATTGTGAATTGAAAGTTTACAGGGCAAATCATCAGTTCTACATTCAACAAATCAGTTTCATTACAATGGTTATAATCCCCTTCATGTACCATCAGTTAACAGTATTTCTAATCAGTTTTTAAAAAAAACTCAGGCATATATAATAATTTACATCACCAAAGGGCACATTCTGTAAGTCTGCTATAACCTAATTTTATTTAATTGGATTATTTTCTAAGTTTTTAACTATTAATATCCACTTCTGTATTTAATATCCACATACATGTATTTTTAATGTATTGTTTATACAAAATGAATTCCTAGTATTTTAATATTTTATTGTTATTTATTTACATTCCCACCACCAAAGAGCTGCCACATCAGGGAGTCAGAGGCCTGGTTTGAACTTGACTTGGCAGAGTTGGGCACCCAGTAGGAACTCAGTGGCTCCACAGGATAAGCACTGGACTATGAGCCACAAGATCAGTGGTTGTGCACACACAAGTGCCCCTTAGCTCTGAGGCTCTGCTCCTGCAGATTTACAGCTTCAGAAAGCTTACACATATCACCAAGTCGGAATACAATGGGACCCAATATAACAGGCACACAGTAGGCAGAGATTTGGCTAGTTAAGTTGCTGAAAACAATTTCAATGTATCCTAAGTCACTCTCATGATTTAGTTGTTTCACGTATGTCCCAAGAACTGTGAATTCTAATCCAAAGTATGAAGCAGTCAACATTCCAAAGTACTTTTCTCTCTATAAGTCCTACAAAGTCCAGCCTAGCATCTAACAGCCTGTTTTTACTGAAGTCCCAGGTATAGCACTGTGGGTTAGAGCACTAGGGCTGTAAAGTGGATTTGAACCACAAGGTTGGTAGTTCAAGTTCACCGCCCTCTCCTCAGAAACCCGCTACAGGGTAACTGAGTTGGAACCCACTTGATGACACTTACCAACAAATAAACCCTTACAAGTCATCTTTTGGGACCAACCAAATTGCAGTGGCATTTTATGTGGAATTAGCTCATGTTGGCATGTCAGTCTTTCCTACTGCTCGTTTTGCTGCAGTATGATCAAAGTAAGAGTGTAAAGGAAACACCAAATGGCTTTAAATTCCCTTCCATTTTCTTCCCAACAGCTTTCACTTCAAGCTAACCATTTAGCTAGGAACCAGATGAAAGCGATGCTTTGAAATCACACTAAAACGATTCTCTTTAAATTTGAGAGATGGCATTTTTAAGTACCCACCTACCAAAGAAAGTGACTATTATGGCTTTAAGCTGTAGTACCACACGGGAAAACCACCGATCTAGAGAAGTTGCTTAGTCTCCAGATGATGTTTAGTACTAGTGAGCACAAACTGACACCCCCTCAACCATGTTTCTTCATTAGTTGTTGACTGTGGCCCTCCTGATGACCTACCCAATGGCCAAGTTGAATATATCACAGGTCCTGAAGAGACCACTTACCAAGCTGTGATTCAGTACAGCTGTAAAGAAAACTTCTACTCAATGAAGACGGATAATGATGGTAAGCAAATTTTTCAAAGTTAAGGTAGGTTGTGCTAGAACTTGGCATCCTGAGTCTGAAAATAAAGTTTAACCAACGTTTTTGGCTAAGGCAGACAAAAGATTAAAAGCACTTCTCTCACTGCTAAGTGAAATATTATAGCTGAAGTGACTTTAATGTCAATTTGCAAGAATCTGAAAACAGATCTTATCTAGTAAATGACTACTACAAACACACAATATATTCCAAATGGTTTAATTTAACAAGTCAAAAACCTTATCATTAAGTACTTGAGATCTTGATACATATTCAAGTTATACATCTAAAAGGTTTCCACTTCGCAAGCAAACATGGTAATGCAGAGACCCCTATTTATGAAATCATGTAAAATGGTTATTCAGACTCCTGTATTTCCCACGGATGCTCAAGAATCAACATTTTTCAAGGGGGTATTCAAGCAAATGACAACCACCTTATACATGCAGTTAAACATTTTTGCGTTTCCAATGATTTGCAGGTAAATATGTGTGTAAGGCTGATGGATTCTGGACGAACGCCAAAGAAGAAAATTCACTCCCAGTCTGTGAGCCTGGTAATGGATACATTTATACAAGAGATTCATAATTGATGGAAAGTAGAACTGGGTAGTAGACAATAAGTAGAGCTTTAGCTGTGGTATGCAGAAATGTAACTTCAGCACTTGGCTCTTAGACCGAGTTAATATTTCCAAATAATATGTTCTCATTATCCCTTTGCACATAGAGAGGTTGTTGGGTGCCGACTACATCAGTCATTTGATTATTTTTTTACCTTATAACTAGGCAAGCATAAAAAATTAAATGATTTAAAAAATTATCTTAACCCACTTATACATTTATAAACATGAGTTCTTTTGTTACTTTTCTTCTCCGTTAAAAATGCTATTAAAACTCAAAGCTAATAACTTGATTATTTCCCTAAGCAATTGTTTTCAGACATCTAATTTTTAAACATTAATGAAACTTGCCTTTTAATAGTACTTTAAAATTTTTACCAGAATTGGCTCTAAAGATAAACAAACAACCCCAGATAGGTAATAATATATTCATTACCCATTTTCTTTGGCTTAGTTTTTTTTAAAAATAAATTTTAAAGAGCTTATGCCTGTATCTTAGTTCACACGTTTCTAAGTCTTAACACAAATATTTTGCTACAACAGAAGCATATATGCTACATTAATGAGCATATTTAGATAGCAATGAAGACACAGTAAAATTTCTAATTTGAAAGAATCAACTAGACCAAAAAAAACCACACAATTTCTAAACTGGGCCAGTCCTGGCCATAACAGCATTTAAAAATTTCTAGAATATTTACACTTTCAAAGGTTAATTTGGCAAATCCTATGACAGTGACTCTTACCAGTGCCTACCTCACCAGAATCACATGGCAAACACCTTATCTAAGCAATAAGGGGGAAAGCTCATCTTTCATTCCTATGCTCACCACCTGGAGTGTTAGTTCAAGTCCATTCTCCACTGTCCTCCTAATTTCCTTAATCTTGCAGACTAAATTTCTTTAGAAAACCACAAGATTCTCAAAGTTAATTTTCAGACAAGCTAAATGTTAAAAGATTTTATCAGGTCTTTGAATTGTATTAAAACTGTGTCACTTGCCTGTGGGTATCCAATTCACGGGACATAACTTTTGGTTGATATTAAATACAGCTAATTCTGAAGTGTAATAATTTGAGAAAAACACTAAGCTTTAAAAACACCCTATACATCTGCTTCTTTCCCTAGTTTGTGGTTTATCAACCCGTACTACAGGAAGTCGTATATATGGAGGACAAAATGCAAAGCTTGGAGATTTTCCTTGGCAAGTCCTGCTGTTAGGTGAAACTACTGCAGCAGGTGCACTTTTATATGATGAATGGATCCTAACAGCTGCTCACGCTGTCTACAGGCAAAAAGACGATGCATCCTCCCTGGACATCAGAATGGGTGCCCTGAAGAGACTCTCATCTCATTATACAGAAGCCTGGGCAGAAGCCATTTTCATACATGATGGTTACATTCACGATGTTGACTTCAACAATGACATAGCACTAATTAAACTGAAGAGCAAAGTTGTCATCAACAGCAACATCATGCCTATTTGTTTGCCAAGAACAGAGGCGGAAGCCTTCATGAGGACAAATGACATTGGAACCATAGCTGGATGGGGATTAACTCAAAGGGGTTTTCTTGCCAGAAGTCTAATGTTTGTTGACATACCAATTGTTGACCACCAAAGATGTACTGCTGCCTATGAAAAGAAACCTTATCCAGGGGCTCGAGTAACTGACAACATGCTATGTGCTGGCTTAGACAGTGGAGGTAAGGACAGTTGTAAAGGCGACAGTGGAGGAGCTTTGGTATTTCTAGATAATGCCACACAAAGGTGGTTTGTGGGAGGAATAGTGTCTTGGGGTTCTATTAATTGTGGGGAAGCAGAGCAATACGGAGTCTACACAAAGGTTATTAATTACATTGACTGGATCAATAGTATAATTAGTACATTTTAAACTGCATGTCTTCAATCAGCAAATGAGTCCTTATTTTAAAAAGTACCTGTAAAAGATGTTTAGCAGCAGTGTAAACTAGGTCCAATCAAAGACAAAAGCCAATGAGATAAGGGAGACTGTCAGAGTACTTCCTAGCTTCCCAGTTTAACCCTAACCCTTTCTGATTCAAGAGGACCAAACCAATATAATAAGCTCATTGCCTAAATTTGCATTTACCTATCAATTTGGTTATCTTTTCAGACGGTCTGCATTTCTGTAATTGCCTATAGTTAATCTGTTGTTTTGAAAAGGCACTAAGTATGCTAGCAGCACTGGCCAGGAATAACCTTGAACCACTCTTTGTAAATGAATCAGAAATACCTGACACTTCAGGCCAGGAACTGAATGATTTCCACTGAAACACTAGGTGTCATTTTTCATTTGCAACTGCTACTCCAATGCCACAAATTTAGCAACTGCAAAGAACCTAAATGATGTTTAAATTTAAAAAAACTGGTTGAATCAACTGTGGCATATCCTTAAGATTGAAGATAATTAAAATTAAGAGGTGATACTGTACACAAATCCATTTACTTACAAGAAACATAAAGTATTTGGTCACACTTAAGCCAAACAGATGGCAGATCATACTACAACGGAGTAAAGTACAAAACCCTAATATACAGTAAGTTACTTACTTGTCCAGTACTCTACCAGATACAAGTAGTCTGTATTATCATTATCTTTAAAGATGAGTTCCCTGCCTATTTTTCATACTAAGAACACTGTAAGCCAAGTTAACATAAAAAATAACTTTTCAGTTATCTACTGAAATTTTTAAGTCGTTCTATTTATTAAGAGTTTTTACTAACGGCTACCATTATATGTAAAAATTCATTGTGAGCTTTGACCTAACTTTAAAAGATAATTTTCCAGTATCCGTTGTCACATATAAAAAAGAAAGGTTTTTCCAGTAAGACTCCAGACACTAAACTGTGGTGCCAACAAAAACTTTTATTCAACTGGTTCAAAATAATTTTAGAATGCAATTAGATGACCAGATAGACTTTCAAAACAACTTTTAGCTAAGTAGTTAAGTACTTCTAAACTTCATTTTTTTTTTTTTTTCTGAAGGGCCAAATAAAATACCCATAGCCGTAGTCCTATAAACATGTTAATAAAAGGCAACATTGAGAGCCATCTATGACTGGAAAGTAGATTTACACAAGTGTAAGTAAGGGATTGAAACCATGCCGTTGATGAGTTGACTTACCCCTGGGTTCCTTGAAGGCGTGTCAGTTAAGTCTTTGGAGGTCCCCGAATACCATTTTAAGTGTTACCTTGTTACTGCTGCTGAGTAATAGTGCAAGTGCTAAAATGCAAAATTCACATGGTACAGGGTTTGGAAATCATGCAGATTTAGATGCAGAAAAATATACGAAAACAACTCAAGATCCTTTTACACAGGAAATTGAATAACAAATCAATGTGGCGATCACAAGTCTAGAGGATGACTTCATTTAGAAACGTTTAAAACACGTAACTTGCAAAATAACAAACCTATTTTTCATAATCTAATTAGATTATGGGTTATTAGGAATACTACCAACAGAAAAACGGTAACATTCTTCCAATTAGAAAGAAAATGGGCTCAACTCTCACAGAATTAGTGGTTACAGAAAAAGTACAAGAGTCAATCTAGTATTACTTTTACATACTTAACAATGCATTGTGAGAGTGAGTTTTGTAAATGGTTTTATTCAACAATGCTATGGTCCCCCACCTTTGGAGGACAAAGCCCATTTCACTAACAGGCCCACAGACAAGACAGCCCACCCTAGTAGGTCTTTAAGCAGTCAGGCTTCTTAATGGACTTCAGGCACAAGATAATTTGTGGTTTCTTCTACTTTATCCCAATGGCAATTAATTCCACTTTTCAAACCCCAGACTAGAAAGGTGCTGATAGTTCTCTTTCCAACTGATATGCTTTGCTACAAAGCATTTGAAAATATTGTTTTGCCCATATTTTTAAGAGGCATGATTTCCCACAGTGGATACTCATAGAGGCCATGTAAAGAGAACATTTCCAAATGCACAGAGGCACTGAGGCAAAGCTGGAGGGCACTGCTTACCATTTTAGGTGTGGTCACCCAGACTTATTAAAAACTAGATTTAAAAAAAGGAAAGAAAAATACTTTTTGCTTTAGACAATGCAAGAACCAATAGCAATTAAGTCTGGGTATCAGGTGTCAATGCATGACAGGTGATGAATCCATGTGACTTGAGACAACTTTTCAAATAAGTTTATTTGAAGCAAAATATACTATTGTCAAGAAACTTTATGAAAGTTCCATCTCAAAAGGGTCAAAAAAGGGGAATTAACTGCTATGAATTCTTTGCATTCAGAGCTGCAAAACAAAGACACATATTATTTAAATCAGTTTTATTTAAGAATTTCCAACATTGACAACTCTTATAAAAAGCATCCAAGCACAGGACACAGAACTGCAGCAAACAGCATTCTTCTGGGGAGCTAACAAACATTAGAACTTCCACCCTTCTTTGAGACACCCTGAGCTCACTGGTGAACTCTGCTTCCAAGTACTCCTGCAAAGCACACCACAAGCTCAGTCCATGTTCTCAACCCATCAACTTCATTTCACTTTACCACACTTACATATCAGTAACAGAAGAGAACACACACCATACAGCATTCACAGCAGTTGACAAATGGGTAAGGGAAATACAAATATCGTTTCACTAACACATTCAACTAATATGGGATTCCTAAGAACAAAACTCACTTAAAGTCTTCCAACAGATGTGGATGTCCTTTGAATGCAAAAAACATTCGTACATTTATTTGCTATCATTGCTCTCTGCACACTCTCTCACCAAAGCCACAGGATTGAGAGACACATCTCGCCAAGTTAAAAAAAATATCCACCAAGTCTCTGCACGCGCTCTCTCCTTTTTCTCGCTCATACTAGCCTTTCATGCCTCGGCACCACCATCAATCCCACACAAGGTTTCAAAAGTTCAAACAGCCTTCTGGTTCCATATCACAGCCTTGCGTTCATAGCGTTGATACGACTCCATGAAATAAAGAGTAGTGGATAAAAATGGGACACCCACCATCAAAGACGCAGCCTGTGCGCGTGATGACAAATTCTTGAATGAGAAAGCATGTAGACAGAAGTATTCCTATGGCAGAGTATTTACAGCACTACTTTCAATGAAGTGCTTCTTCCATAAACATTTGAAATGAGATGAACTGCAGAGATTAAATGAAGGCTTCTTATTGTACTTTTGTATATGAGGGGAGACAAGTATTAAAAAACAAACAAAAAACAAAAGAACCAAACACTGTGACACCATGTGATCTCCAGAAAGGAGACAGTCTTAAGAAAATATCCATATGGTGGGGTTCAAATTAAAACGAGAAAAGAATGTAGTTCTAACCAATGGTTTCCATTTTGAACATGCAAAGAATTCACTTGACAAGTTCAGGGATAAAATATTACAGGAGAAACCTTTTGAATATCAATTGTAGTGTGTTGGTTTACCAATCAGGCAAACAGCAGTTCACTTTCAACCACTCAATAGTTCAACCCTTTAAGTAACAAAACTTATAAAATTCCTTTAGCTCTTCCTCTTTTTCTAAAGAAAAATGTCAAAAATACTGCTGAATATACTCCACACTGAACAAACCAATCTTGAAAATTTTTAGTACATATATATCTTACAATATACTTACCATGAGTTTAGAAAAATTTGAGTTCCCACCAGTCTCTACCAACCAACCAACCAGAACCCACTGTCTACATTCCCCAGCCAGAGGATTTGGAATCCATGCTTGAGCCAAAGCCTCCATTAAAACCACTGCCAGACCCTGCATTTGATGCTGATCCCCAACCAATTGCTGCACCAGAATTGGAGCCACTGTAAGAGTTATTTCCAGAACCAAAAGCCCGATTTGGCTCCCTCTGCATGTTGCCTTGGCTTTGGTTATTACCCGACGGGCCTGACTGGTTCTGCTGACTGGCTAGCATGCCCATCATACCCCAGCTACTCTGTAAGGCTGCTTGGGCTGCAGCCATCATTGCTGGATTAATGCTGAAAGCCCCAAAGTTCATCCCTCCACCCATATTACTACCTTGATTATTTCCCAAGCCAGCCCCACCCCCTCGACTATTACCAAATCCACCCTGATTCCCAAATCCACCTGGATTACCACCAAATCTTCCACTTCTTTCTAACTGTCTATTGCTATTGTGCTTAGGTTCAGCATTGGATATATGTACGCTGATTCCTTTAATGATCAAGTCCTCTCCACAAAGAGACTGGGCAACCTATAAGAAATAAGGAATGTAAATAAAGGAGATTAAACCACTGATTCATACATAAAATGATCAGTAAAACCTAGACTTCAGAGATTTTTCATTTTCAAAATAAATCTAACATTCCCTCAGTCAATGTCATACCCTGAATTTACCCTAAGTCTCTTCGACCATATATAACCCACAGTTTTAAAGGATCAGGAAGTGTAGATTAAGGTGGCAGTTAGCTGGGACAAAATTATTAAAGAGAAAAATACCTGATCATCTGCAAACGTAACAAAGGCAAAAGCCCTGAATGGTTTGGGAATGAAGACATCTACCACTTCTCCATACTGGCCAAAGAACTGCCGCAACTCGTCTGCAGTCATATCCTCCGTACAACGCCCAACGAACACTTTTCTGCTCCTCAAAGGCTCATCAGGGCTTTGCTGGTCAAATCAAAAGGGAGTAAAAACATCACGTACTTTACAAATGAACATTATCACAGGAGATGTAACAAAATTAATCTGCCTTGTAAATTAAATAAACCATTAAAACGGCGTATTCTAAATTTTTTTTTTTTTTTTTCATCAGCACATCTTAGCCTTATGACATTTCATTAAAGAATAAAAAAGTTTTAGGGTGCAAAAGTATACTTGGATCAAAGGAAACAGGAAATGTCTTGGGCAAAGGTGATGATGTCCAAATAAGTCTACTGTGAAATTTGGCCACTGTAACAAGATTAATACATGCTGATTGTTTTATGGGGCCGAATAGAAATAACATGAGGAGTAAAAGTAAATAAAGTTTAAACAAAATATTCAGCATACATTAATATACATTAAAGTCTACGGCTTCAACAAGGTCAATGACAATTTCAAGAACACACCCTGCAACTACCCTTTCCAAGGGTGGTGGTGGTAGTGAAGTGTTATCGAAGAGTGGATTCTGACCCATAGTGACCCTGTATATAGGGGTTCCAAAGAGCGACTAGTGAGCTTGAACCGCTGAGGTTCAAACTGACTGCAGTCCAGCACATTAACCCACACCAGGACTCCTTTGCAAGGGTCTTTACGCTTTGTTTTATAGTATCTTTGAAGGCAGTTTGTCTCCAAAGCACAGAGGAAGAAAGATGGAGCCAAGTACCTTCGAGTTGGGCAGTTTACAGTCACACCACCGTCCATCTATCATATGCCGCTGGGACATTACTTTCACTTGGGTGTCATATTCCGTAAAACGAACAAAGCCAAATCCTTTTGAATGACCAGTTTTAATATCCTTCTTGACCTAGAAAAGATGATTTATTTATTTACTAAAACTACTCATGCACACACCTAAGCACAAACCAAGTTATTTATGTGGTACAAGCAACAAACGGGTATGCTGAAACTACATCATGTAAACAGGAGAGCAAAACTGATTTACGTAATAGTGCTTTAAGAAATGTTTTAGAATGAATCAAAAACAGACAAGATTCAATGGTTAAAAATCCTTAATTATTAAAAGTGGGAAAAGACACAAAAGGAGCACCTGCAGCCCAAGGACAGTGCCATGGAAACACATGCCCAGGTCGGGGTAAAGCAAGCTGCAAAGTCAAGTCACTTTACCTGCACCATAAGAACCTCTCCAAAAGTACTAAAATACTCTTTCAGATCCTGCTCAGTTGTCTTCCATGGAAGCCCCAACACAATCAAGTCAGACGTCTTCTGGACTGCTCGTTTCACCTTCACAGCTGATGAAGCGTCTGTCTCATCCATTTTTCTTTTGTTATCTGAATAAATTGAGCAGAAACTTTTTAGAAAACTTCATTTAAAACTAGTGACTCTACAGGATTTCTGAGGCTATAAATCTTTACAGGAGCAGAAAGCCTCATCTTTCTCCTGCGGAACAGCTAGTAGTAGAATTTCTGGCAACAAGTCGTGTTAACTCTAGAGACACTGAGGTGCTTCCTGCTGCATGTCCAGAAAACGTCCCATGAGTTAAAAAAACCCAACACATTACAATGTTCTCCTTTTCTGTGATGCTTTTATATTACCTTTCTCACCAATTTATTACCTTCCCACCAAATGACTAGATTGCTGTTGTTGGATGCTGTGGAATCAGTCCTGACTCACACTGACCCTATGAGAACAATGGAACCTAACAACTCCTGGTCCTGCACCTTCCTCACAATTGTTGCTACAGTTTGAGTCCATCGAACCGGCCAGTTTCAATCCATCTTGGGGGCTCATAATGCAAATGAAGTCCATGGTAAATCTATGGGGGTAAGGACCATGCCTATAAGATGTATGGAACCCTAACGAAGCAACTGGTCAGTTTTGACATACTGTTACACTTAACAAAGTCAATTCCAGAGTAGAGCAGTGACCTCATAGCCTTCAAGGAAGAAAAAAAAAACATGGGAGTGGAATGTGTTCTTTGGACCTTGACCTATGGACAGGTAACTTCCTAGACTGGAGAGGGGCACACAGGAAGACAGTGAGGCAGTCTGCAGTGGCAGCAGCAAAACCAGGAGACTAACAGGTGGGCTAGGACCTATGGAGTAAGTTGAGTATTTTGGGGGCAAGAGGTTTTCTGATGAAGTAGAGTACCTCTGGGCACCTACTCGGTGAGCTGAAGAGTTTGTAACACTTACCTAAGAAGGGCAGAGGCTAGAGGGAAGCCTATCTGTGAGCATGGTTGAAAGATGGTGTTCTGATGGAACAACTGTATCCTGGGTTATTGCTAATCCTGAATCACTGTTGACTACTGAACTGGAACTGACTCACTGGAACTTAACAACTGCCCAAAAGAGAAAGATGAAGCTTTCTGCTCCTATAAAGGTTTACAGCCTTGGAAACCCTATATGGGGTCATTATGAGTTGGAACTGATTCCATGGCACACAACCACCACCTCCCCCAAAATTCCTAAATTCGGTGTATTGTCTGAATCATTAAACTTAGCAGAGAAGTAGGGATTGCCATGGGAGGGATAGCTGGTGTCAGAACCGGTCAAAGTTGAAGAGCGGTCAGGTCTGACCTTTGCCTCATAGGATCATCCTTGGTTGATTCTCATGAAGTTAAGTGAATGCCAGATGCCACCCCCATGCCATTTGTTCTTGTTGTTAGGTGCCACCGAGTTGGTACCGATCCATAGCAACCTTATGCACAGCAGAATGAAACACTGCCCGATCCTGGGCCAACCTCACTACTGTTGCCACGCCTGAGTCCATCAATGCTGCCACTAGGCCAATCTATCTCGTTGGGGGTCTTCCTCTTTTTCTCTGACCCTCCACCTTACCAAACATGGTATCCTTCTCCACCGACTGGTCCCTCCTCCAACAATATGTCCAAAGTTTTGACAGATGAAGTCTGGCCATCTTGGCCTCCAAGAAACACTCTGGCTGCACTTCTTCCAAAATAGATCTATTTGTTCTTTTAGCAGCCCATGGCACTTTCAATATTCTCTTCCAACACCATAACTCAAAAGCATCAATTCTTCTACGGTCTTCCTTATTCACTATTCAGCTTTCGCATACATATGAGGTTACTAAAAATCTTTTTCAATAACCAAGCCATTTAGACACTTTCAAATGGGGAGTTCAGTGGCTCAATATGATAAACACTGGACTGAGAACCACAAAGTTGGTGGTTCAAGCCCATTAGCCACTCAGTGGGGGAAAAATAGGCCTTTTGGCTTCCACAAAGATTTAAAGCCTCGGAAACCCTACACAGGGTCACTATGAGTCAGAACTGACTTGATGGTACTTAACAACAAAAAAGTATATGAAACAAAAATAATCCTACTTCATGTGGACTTACTTGACGTTATCCTTGTATCCATACACTAAATATATCTGCTTAACTACTTGAATGTGCCATGTAATTTAAAGACCATGTTGTTGTTACTAAGTGAAAACGAGTCAGTACCACTCACAGTGACCCTGTACAGGGTATCCGAGGAACAGCTGGTGGGTTTGAACTACTGACTTTGTGGTTTGCAGTCTAGTGCTGATCCTACAGCGCCATATCAGAAGACCATATACCTCTCAAAGTTAGCATCTTCAGGGTTTCATTCTGTTGTGCACAGGGTCTCTATGAGCTGCTATTGACTCAATAGCACATAACAACAACAACACATCCAGACGGTAGAATGACTCCTGCTAGGCTCATTTATTCATTCCCTGAATGCCTGCTATGGGTTAGGTATGAATCAATTAATTTTTTCCTAAACTTCCAAAAATAACCACATTATTAGTTTTGTAATAAAGCCAGATTTGGAGAGGGAGGGGAAAGGAAAACAAAGACATTGAAAATCAGGGTAACTCAAGTAACAGCAAACAAACAAAATTATGTTTTAAAATTTTTTCTAGATGTACTAATGTCTTGCATCGTGAATAAATTTGATTATTTGATCTTGTTGCAGTATAAATTTCAAGGAGCTATATCAACTACCATCCATTCCTACTGCTAAAATGTACCTACATCCTTGCACTCAACTTTCTTGCTTTTCTTAGAACAGCACTGGCAAGCAGCATCAAGAATTAGACCTAATTAAAATCATTTATTGTTAAGTGCTGTCAAGTGAGCTTCAACTCATAGTAATCCGGTGTAGGGTTTCCCAGGAGTGGCTGCTGGGTTTGAACCGTCTACCTTATAGTTAGCAGTCCAATGTATATCCTACAGCACCACACTAAAGCTCCTAATTAAAATTAGGACCACAGTAATTCAAAATCTGAGTTACTGCAATTGGTGATCATTTTAGGGGCGAAAAAAGGCTGGAGTTCTTGTGTGGGACTGCAGGATAAGCCCTGGACAGCAAGGTCAGTGGTTCAAACTCACCAGCTGCTCCTTGGAAACCCTACTACAAAGGGTCGCTATGAATCAGAACCGACTCGACAGCACTTAACAACATGGCGTGCAGGATAAGCACTAGACTGCTAATGGCAAGGTCAGTGGTTCAAACCCATCAATTGCTCCTCAAGAAACCCTACAGAGTCACTATGAGTGGGAACCAATTGCAAGGCACTAATGACGATCTACAACACAAATATAACTGCAATGCATTCTTAAGATGTCCTAAAATTGTCATCAGCTCAGCAATATTTGTTCAGATAATATACTATTTAAACAGCTTCTTTTAAAAAATGTTCTGTCATTGTTACTTTTTACTAATTTAGACTAGTGTCCTTCAAACATTCCTAATAACAAAGTTTCAGGAAAAGCCTGCATTATAGACATCTCCCCATGAAGCGAGTTCGGGATCAATGACTTAAGATGAAGCCAAAGCCCCACCAAAATAATGCAAAGTCAAACAGCAACAAACCTTTGGGATAGTTGACAACATAGACCAGATTTCCCCAGCCAGCATCGGGGGCATGCAGAATTCCTTCGACTAGTCGAACGCCTCTCATACACTGAGATACTGGATTCCTGTAGCGCAGACCACATGCCCCTGGAAACTGGGCGGTAACCGTGGACAGTAGCACCGTTCCATCATCTTCCGATGGTATTTCGATAGGTTCGTCATTCTCATCTTCCGTCACCCGAATATATTCAGACATCTTTGTCTTAAAAGGAAAAAGAGATGCATGACCAACATTCATGGCAGGGTCGCGGCTAATTTAGAATTCGTTGATTACTGACGCCGACACATTATCAAACTCTACCGTTACCAGATAATACCTTGCTGTTTGTACTTACTCATATGGCTTTCCTGTTAAAATGCTAAATTCATTCATTCACCCAGTAATTCCTGAGTGCCTACGATGGGTCTGGTTGTTGCAGCCGTAACTGAAATCAGCCCCGAGTGCATGCTGGTTTCAGAACAGGCAGGAATAAACAGATAAAGTAGTTTAATTATTGCAACATGTTATCAGAATAAAGTAAGAACTTTAAAAGGGCCGGGAGGCCCTCAGCTGGCTCAGAAGCGTGAATTAGGATCGGGTCCCCTGAAAAGGTGATGCTTAGGCTGAGATTTAAAAGCCGAATAGGAATGAGCCAGGTGAAGACAGGGACTAGTCTCTATTTCTCACTTGGGGACTTCAGTGGGCTCTCCAAACTAGTCTCACACAACAGCACAGACAAGTTCTTCGAGATCCGAGCCGCCACCTCCCCGAGACCAAGGCGTGACAGCCGAGGGAGGAGTTTTTAAGCGCGGCCCGGATGGGGTCGCAGGAGCACAAGGCCTAAAGCAGGTAGAGTCCCCGAGACTACAACGTAAGGCCTAGAAGCCAAGTCTGCTTTCCATTCCAGACTGCACGACACCGCGGGGCAGGGTCCCTGATTTGGCGCCGGCTGCCACCCCGCGTCATGCTCTAACGACGCTCCCGCGCGAGGCCGCTCGGGCAGGAAAAGGCAGGCCCGGCCCCACGACTCTCTTCTCGGAGGGAGTCGAAGCTACTGCGTCCGTCTCAGGACGCCCTGATAGGGAAGCCGAGCCAGCCAGGAGGTCCTCAGTGAAGAGTGCCCGCGACTCACCTGCTAGGCCGCTGCTAGTGAGCCCAAAAGGGAAACAAGCAGCGAGGGACCCAAGAGCAGCCTAGCTACCGCTTCGTTCTCACAAAATGGCGCTAAGGCCACCTCCTCCCCGCGCCGGCCGTCATCCTCTTCCATCGAATCGCCGTCGACAGGGGGATACTACCTCATAGGTACACAGCAACTCTTTCCTAAGTGAGCTATACTCCATTTTTGGAGTCCTAAAATTCGAAGACTATTTTTAAACTACAATAGGAAAAATATTTGGAAAGGAAAACTTTAATATTGAAAAAGTGTGGTTGAGTAGGTTTTAGTACCACCCACGCAGCGTAAAAAATGGTTTGGCCCGACCAACCGCCGGCCCCAGGTCTCGGCCAGAGCTCACGCGTTTCAAAGTGCGCGAGACTAGCATAGGGGCAGGGCCAGGAGGGGCAGGGCGGAGCCGGACCAAACAGGGAGGGACCGAGAGGGGGCGGGGCAAAAGGTCCGGGCATCTACTGATCACCCACGGGCTTGCGAGGCTATAGAGTCCAGAGCAGTTTATCTAAAAAGTCAGATGATGCGCTCTCTCCTCCCTCTCCTAGGCTACCTCCAAACTTTGTTTCTAAAATAACTATTAAGCAAACACATCGCCTACTGCCTTCTCTGGAAGGAGTGGGCTACTAACATAAGGTCAGTAGTTCCAATCTACCAGATGGCTTTGCAGGAGAAAGATGAGATTTTCTGCTCCTATAAAGGGAGTCCTCCTGTGGCAAAGACTGGTTGCTAACTACCCTCAGTTGGTTCCGACCCATAGCAACCCTCTATAGGGTTTCCAAGGAGCTACTGGTGGGTTTGAACCGCCAACTTTGTGGTTAGCAGTCCAGTGTGCATCCTACAGCACCACACCAGGACACAACCTTGGAAGCCCTATGTTGTA